AATATTGTGTGAGGCACAGAGTCTTGGCACCGTCTTCGATCAGGGGGACAAGTGGGAAGTAAAATGAGCACATGATGACCAAACCATAGATCAACCGGCGACATACAAGGTTCTTGACTTTCTAGCTTCTTTCTTTAGGGTTAGCTGATTCTCATCCAACTATGGGTAAGTATGTAGCGACAGAATTCAGCATCATAATCAACTCTCACGGTATGGACCTCGGGCAGCACGGGGCGGGGCGGGCCTCACACTCAGGATGGTGGTGCACTGGTGTACGCTTAGTTCATGATTCACATAGCATTTCACACAAAGGATATCTTGCCCTCCTCCAACATCGCCGCCTCGCGCCTCAGAAAAATCACAATTTCCCGCCTCTCGTATTCACACATTCTCCGGTACGCCGCCCAACATGTCTGGACGTGTCGAACGAGGAGGATCTGACCTAGATTTCACCTACAAGCGGTACAAATGCGATGGCATTGATATCTGGCTCCAGGCCATTGACCCTGAGACGAGCGACTCGCTCGTCCACGTCATTGTTCGTTCGGGGCGCGTCGAAGCTCTCGGGGCCTGCCGACTCTATCCGACCTGCGGAAACGGACCGGCTCAATACCAAGGCCGTCGCGAGAGGCATATTTCGTTCACGCATCAGAATGGAGAGGGTGGCAACGGGCTGCATGTCGCTGCGCGGACCGGGGGGCTACCGCGTGTGAGGGCAGTGCTACGTGCCTTTGAGGGCAGGGACGCGGATGACGGGGTGGACACTCCGGGGGAGTATGACCGTCATGAAGTGAGCGGGGATGAGGGGCGGTTGTATCCCTGGGATGCGGAGAGGATCCTGTTCATGGAAGCGAGAAACACCGCGGGAAGATGTGCTGCAGATGAGGCTCGGCATCACGGACAGAAGGAGGTGGCTGGTTTTCTGGAGCACGTTCTCGACCGGTCATACCCTCCCGAGTGCAGCGATAGGGAGAGCGCGAGGCATCTGGCCAGGCCTATAGTCGCTCAAAGGTACAGGTTCAGAGAATGTTGAGAGAGGCCCTGAGGCCTGGCTGCTGGCTGCGCCATAGGCGAGCTTCACTAAACAATAGTTACATGGACTGTTCGTCTGATCTGAAACATCAGCTGGAGCAGCCATCTGCGCGTCTGCGCTGCGTCACTGCTACCCCTAGTCTCTGGTAGCATAACCCGTGTGCCGGTTCAAGACCATGTTAACAGGGTCCTGCTCCAAAGTCTTAAGGAGGGCGACGGGGTTTAGTTTGTCGTCGAGAGAGGACCCGTCAACGTCGTCGGAGGCGTCTAATCCAACGGCATCGCGACAGAGGAGGAAGAGGACAGTGCTTTGTCGAAATCCAAGTAAGCGATGGGGATGGACATTGTCACTTGGCAGCTACAACGACACCCTCAAAAACATTCAAGGTTGACTTGTCTAACCCTATCGGAACCAGCCATCAAAAAATAGCGATTGAACCTACTTCCGCCTTGAACTGCAAAATACAACCATAGCTTGGATGATTACTTCTGGTTCGACACGACGTTTCACACATGACAATACAGCACAAGGATACCCTGGGAATTAACGTACTTCAGCAAGATTTGCCCGCCATATTTGTGTAACAACCAGAAATCTTCCCCCGCGTTTTCCCCACAAAGACCGCCGTATCCAGTCCCTGCAGGGGACGATGTGACCCTTCGGATCGGGATATCCACGCGCGAGGGGTCCCAATCTTTTGCCGCTCTCCGGTGGCTGCAAGATTTTCGGGCAGACCTAAACAACTTACAAAAACACAAAAGAGACGAACTCGTCTTGTTCAAGCTCGGCGATGGATAACCCGACTGTTACTCCCCAAGAGACGCGCAAGAGATGAGGCGTAAGTTATTGGATGTGGGTCATGGGAAGATTGTCAACTACAAAATCACGCCCACTACCCGGCAAAACTGGGTCCAGGACAAACAGCATCTTCTTCCTAGGACTTTTAAAGGTTGAACTGATTTTCAGTTTTTCGGTGCTTCTTTCACACATTCTTTTGGTCCTTTGCAGACCGATTATTTGTGCGATATTACCCGGCAATGGAGGTTCTGTTAGTGTGGCTTGCGGTTGCGACCGGAGGTGTGGCGGCTGCACCGACTAGCAATTCCACTGCTGCCAAGTACGATACCTCCCTAGTCCTCTCGAAACCCGAACCAGTTGCATGTTCTGACACTTCTCTACATGTAGTATATTCACTGCAAAAGGCGTCACTACTGGCAATACAGCGCAGTTGCAGACTGAGTCTTTTACACGTTTCGCTCTCAGCCCGGACATTCCGGTGGCTACTTTGGACTATGGAGCCGAGAGGGCGGGTTATCCGATCTTCGACGTCTCTGCCCTTAGCGCACCGGCGCAAATCGAGGTCAAGTACACGGAGCACTTTGACGGGCTAAATCATCCCTTCGGTGACGGGCCGTACACCTTCTCTAACCAGCTAAGCAACAGCTTCCGCGTCGAGACGTTCAACATCACGGCCGTTGGCCGGGTTGCATCTACGCTGCTCCAGGGAGGCCAGAAGTGGCAATCCATCAGACTTTTGACCAATGGTACGGTGGAATTCTCTAGCGTGGGCTTTTCGGCGACTATTGATGCGGTCGAGCCTGAAGATCTCCCTGGAGGGTTTGACAGTGATGATGAGACTTTGAACGAGATCTGGAAGCTGGGCGCTAGAGCGGCGACAGCGGCATGCTTCGATAAGGGCACGCAAAAAGCCATCTGGGAAGTGAGCGAGGAGAACGGGGCGTTGGCCCGGAGCACGCGGCCGGCTGTAACCTTTAAGGGCACGTCTTGGAGTAATTACACACTGGAGTTTGACACCAAGATCCAAAGAGGTGGGAGCTGGTTTGTAACGGTAAGACTCGGGTCAATCGCTATTCAGCCTGCAAGACTATTTTACTGACGTCCAATCTCAGGGAGGAGCTGTGGCTGGCAACGGATACACCATGCTGCTGACTGGCGAGCTGCCCGAGACAACCCGCTTTGCCAATGTCAACGCGACTTTAACGCCAGCCAACACGATCACGCTGGCCTACGGACCAGACTTTGTGAACCAAACGACCCTGGCAACGTTCCTGCTCGACGTCTTTGAGGTTCCTTTCAAAGTGAGGGAGAACGAATGGTATCATATCAAGGCAATTATGGCTCCCACAGGCCATCTTGCCGTCTCCATCAATGATACCCAACTGTTCAACATCTCGCGTTCCGACTACCCATGGGCGCTCGCCGCCGGCACTTCGTCGTACACAGGCTCTCCCGATTTCACCGGCTCTATCGGCTTCGGTGCATACCAAGACCAAGCCGCCTACTTCAAAAACGTGCACGTCTATGACACGGCCAACGGTTCAACGCTCTACACCAACAACCTCACGACCCCGGACGTCCTTGTCGAGTACGGGACACAGTCGAATCCCGAAAGCGCGTGCCTCGACGGGCCCAAGCGCGACAGACTCATTTGGCTCGGCGACTTCTACCACACCGCTCGCATTATCGCCACCAGCACGTCACGAACAGATCAGTCCCGAGGAACATTGCAGCTGCTGATCGACTCGCAAATCGCCAACGGGCAGATGAATATCTCGCCCAGCCTCGGGTACGACCTGAGGTCCGCCGCAGACGCGCTGGCGCCGAGTGGCAGTTTCGGATTACAGGATTACCAGCTCATGGGTCTGATGGCGTTCAGTGACCATGTGCGGCTAAACAACGATCTGGAGTGGGCCAAGGCGACGTGGCCAAAGTGGCAGAAGGTGCTTGACTGGCTTCTGCCGCAAATCAACTCGACGACGGGGCTGCTGACATTCGAGGGCGGGTTTGCTTTCACTGGCCCGGCGGATGGGGGATCTGCGATTGGGTGCGAGGCCGTTCAGGCTCTCAACGGCGCTGCAGATGTCGCTGCTGCTCTCAACGACGGAGCATCTGCCGAGCGGTACCGCGGGGCTGCGAACTCGTTGACAAAAGCCATCAACGAGAAGCTCTGGAACGATGAGATCGGCGCATACGGCCTCTCGCTCGCAGACGTGAGCGGCATCTCTGTAGCCGCAACCGCGTTCTGCATCACCTCCGGCGTGGCAGACGCAAACCGCACCGCCCACTCCCTCTCGGCGCTGTCCAGCTTGAAGCTCGGCCCGGGCTACAAAGATAACTCGGCCGTCTCCTCCAATGACACCAGCGTCAACATTTCCCCCAACACCAATGGCTTTCTCCTCTCCGCGCTCTTCATGGGCAACGCCACGCAGATGGCCCAGGAGCTCATGATGAACCTCTGGGGCGCGATGCTACCAGGCGCTAGCGAGGCGCAGAACAAGAGCGCCGTCGGCACGAGCTGGGAGTACGTCAACGCCGCGACGCTGCAGCCTGGCTTGGACCTGTTCACGAGCTTGAGTCACCCCTGGGGCGGCGCCGCCACATACGTTCTGACGGAGTGGGCAGCGGGCTTACGCGCTGCTGAGGGGACCAAAGGGTTCGGGTACAAGAATTGGGTTGTCGCGCCGGCGGCTGGTGTGGGATTGGGGCTGACGAGGGCGAGTGCAAGAGTTGTTACTGCGTTTGGCGGGGAACTGAGCGTCGAGTGGAGGGCGGGGGATGGTGAGATTGGAGTGACAATCCGGGCTCCTATCGACACGGAGGGGCGGTTTGTGTATGGGAATGAGAGTATTGCATTGCACGGGCGGACTGAGTACCGGTTCACCGTGGACGCGACGTTGCAGAACGGCATCGTCTAGATTCCGAGCACGTAATGTATAGACTTAACCTTGACAGCAACTGTCACATATTTGTTACTTGACATGTTTACGCCTATGGGTCTCAGGAAGCATAGAACAATTGGAGATCTTGTACATTCAAAGGCTGTCCTTGTATCCCCGCCAACGCGCACACATCTAAGGAGAGCCGAGGCCAACCCGCGCAACTATTGGTCTTAATGTGGATTCGTGCAGCGCTGGGGCATCGCGGGCCTCCACTCGAGCGCACAAACGGTTGTGTAGTGTAGTGGTAATCACTGTAAGTTTCCTGCGAAGCACGCCCCCTCACGTACTGACTCCCCTCGAGCCGGATTTTGATCACTGTCAAATGCCTTCCGGCAACCCCGGTTCGAACCCGGGCACGACCTCGTTTTTTGACTTTTTGGCCAGCGCCCTTCGGTATCTATGATGCACAATGCGATGACTCTTGCCTTATAGACAGACCCATCTCCTCGCCTTGGATGTAGTGCATACGATTTCGGGGCAACAGGAGCCTTGAGGAGTGTTGAGCTGAAGTCCCGGATTGTCGACCTCCGGGCACAGTTGCCCGGCCGGCTACTTTCGGCAACATGTTCCGGCATCGGAGCTACTCGATCAAGCCCGCCCCGTGCTTCGCCTCTACCGCCGCCGATGTCGTGCCGCGCCTTACCGCTCCCCGCGCGACCAGACTACCACCTTCGCACTCACACAACCCAGTCACATGACGCCGTAATCAACGCTCCGAGAAGCAGTCAAGACCTCCGCAATCCTCTCGCTCAAACCCACAATGTCCATCCCCACACGCGCCTTGAGGAACAGCTTCATCCCCGCAGCCAGAAACCTACCCCGCGTCCCCAGCAACACCTCGCCGTTCAGCTTCAGGCATCGCACGATGGCTACCAGTGCAAAGGAGTTCCTGTGCATCCTCCCGGACAAGCCAGATGCGCTTGCCCGGCGATTGGAGGTCAGACCGTGAGTAGCTCCCTGTGATTGTTGGGATGATGAAAAGGTTTCATCTGAGAGGGCGGTGGTGGCTGACCTGCTGAAGCACGCATCTGGCCGATGCCCAGGCTCATGTGGGTAATGGAAAGATGGCCGTTGGTGGTACGTGCTCTCAACCCCCTCGCAAGCAGCTCTTAGGCTGACGAGAATGGTGAACAACAGGCGCCATGTTCGCGGAACACCCCACCGAGGGAAAGACGCCCAGCTTCAAGGGCAGCGTATTCATCTACACCGTCAAGGATGCCGAGGAGGCTTGGGAGCTCATTAGGAACGACATCTATGCCAAGAGTGATGTGTGGGATCTCGAGAAGGCGCAAGTGATTCCGGTAAGCCAATCGTCTGTATCCCGGCTGAGACAAGCTTCTTGGGAGGGAGACGCTGATATCGACGCACACCATAGTTCAAGTCTGCCGTGCGAGAGTCCTTGTAGCTGGTTCCATGTCGGGCTCACTTCGTCAAAGTCAAATCCAACCCCACCTTTAAGCAAAAAACACGTAGCGGTACTTGTCGTATATGATATTCGTCATCATTCAACTTTTGATTACCATAACTCATTACCTTCTGTGACCCTCGTCGGTATCGACAGACTGTATTAAATCCTCAACGTCCAAGCGCTCCGCCAGATCCAATAACGCCTGTGGCGAGAGGCCGCCCATGCCGCTCGTATCGAATATATCCCACCCCGCCTCCTCCATCTGATCCAAAAATGACCCGTGCTCGTGCCCATGGTGGTGCTGCGGATGCGCCGTGCTCGGCGGCGGCGTCGGGGGCTCCTCGCCAGCCGGCGTCAGGGCTAACATGATGTGCTCGAGCTGACTGAGCTCCAGTTTCCGCAGCGGCGCGACTAGGCTCCCCTTGGATATCATCCTGTCCAAAACGCATGTAACATTCTCGCACCAAGAGTCGTCGTGTAGGAGGGATGGGCTGATGACACGGATGAGGTAGAGTAGAAAGGCCGAGGAGAAGGCGTCTTCGAGTTGGAAAGGGAGGAAGGCTTCGAGGAGGTCTTCGTCGCCGAGGACGCGGAGGGTTCGGAGCACTGTTTGTGCGGAGTCGACGCATGACTGGAGGAGGGAGGCGACGGGAGGTGTTAGGGAGACTGTCTGGGAATGACGCATGTCGGAGTGTTCAATGTGCATATGGAGAGCGCACATGACCAGTGGTCGTGTTGTAAGTACCACGCACTACTGATGTTAGCGAGCTGTTGCGGTGGCCGTTGAGTAGACATGGACTTACATGATGGTATGACAGGATAAGCCGCAATGCCATCCTTGATGCCCTGCTAACAGACCCTTGGAAGTGAGTGTCAAGTAATGCCGTCAGGTCTCGGGATAAACGTGCAAGATCTCTGAGGATAGACTGGGTATTTGGGACAAGCGAGCCATCAAACTCCTTGCCGACACCGTACACAGCTAAGGCAACGTGTTAGCAACGCCAAAAGCAGAAGGATACCTTGCCTTTAGGGAGAACCCACTGGTAAGAATGCGCGCCATCAAACGCGAGAGCCGGACATGCAGGGTCATGTTCAGCGCATCGAGGGAGTTGTCTACCTTCGAAGGCAGCTTTACAGTAATGTCCTCGTCCCGGATCGATGTGGGCGCACCCATGAGGGCAGAGAATTCTCGGTCCAAGGTGTACACAACCCAGAACACAATGTTGCAGCGCCTTGAATACTCGGCGCCCACCACCTCTTCGGGCATGTGTCTGTAGATACCTTCAACGATGCCGATGCGCAATGCCTGTCCGATCTGTGATTGTGTTAGCCAATCCGCCCGAGGATCTGCACGAAAATCAGGGCCCTCTTTACATGTTGATATGCCGCCAGCCTCATGTCCAAACACTGGAAGTACAAAGCTGCCAACGCAAGGGCTTGGATGGCGAGGATGGAGTCGGGGCTCAGCCCCGATAAGTCGGGGAGCAACGCCATGGCCCGCGCCGCGTACTGAACTCCGGGAGGGGCCGCATGGGGGCTGCTGTTGACGACAAAGGCCTTGCCGAACGCTAGAATGAGCAGGTACTGGGCGTACCATAACCTCGACGAGCTGGCCTTCGCCACCGGGTCCTCGTACAACTCACGCATGTTCTTCAAGAAGGACGGCTCATCAATGAGATAGAACACGGCGCCTAGGTAGAACTTTGCCGTGTTGAACAGGAACATGGCATAGTCCAATGGCGGGAGGTTGGACACGTCGGGGGTCTCAGTAGCACCCAAAGGTGCCCATTGCATCCTAAAAGCGCCCTCGTGTGGCAGATGCCATGGATCCGGGGCGGCTTCCGGTATGCGTTTCCCGAGCAGGGCCAAGACTCTGCGGCAAAAGGACCACGAAGAGGTCGGGCCCATGTACCCTACCGTAACAGATCAGCATGTCTGTGTCAACGACACGAACCTGTCTCAACTCACAATATCGGTCGCCTACTTTTGCAAACGTGTAGTCGTTGTCGACAAGAGGGTTCTGTCGAAACCCTGGTCCAAAATCACCCTGATCTCCGTGGTTGGAAGGGGCATCTTCAACCTCAGTATCAGGCTCAGATGGAGCAGGGCCACCTAGGGTTGGACTATCTGTAGATAGTTGTAAGCCACGTGCGTTTTGTCAAGATGCAAGTCAGTTGCCGGTGGCTGTTACCATTGCTTGGAGTTTCCAACTGCCCCGCCGCGTCCTCGCTTTGGCCCAGGGAAGTGTGATGCGGCGTTGCATATACCTCTGCATAGCGGCTCTGCACATCCTCAACATCACGTCCCCGACTCAAAGCCCTCGTCGAACGGTCCGAACCTTGCTCACTATTCCGGTTCTGAAGTTCACGTAGGTAGCTGCAGAGTGGAGTCAGCCTGACACCGCGCCGAAAGCAGCTCTGTTGTGGTTCCGACAACTCACCTCTCCGGCACCGACACCCTCTTGTCCTCAGCGGCAAAGATGCACCGGTGCTTTTTCCTGTCGCAGCGGGCGCAAGGCTGAGAGCCGGAGCACTTGACCTTCATCACCCGGCATCTTTCGCATCTTTGCACACACAAAGTTAGTTCCGAGGCCCTCAATCTCCGGTTTTCGAAATGGATGGAAACCCCCGCACGCACGCTTTCTGGCATTTTTTGGTCACTTTGTATTGTCCTTGGCTTAGTTGCGGCATGGCGGACTGTTCTCGCGGGGCCGAATCGAAGACTTCATGTCGTTTCTTCGGTGAGGGAAGCAGATATCGCGACGAGTTGGGATTGATATGTCGGAGCAGCGTCCCGACAATGTTTATGTGTGCGCGCCCTGTCGTCTTTATTGGAATGGCAAATTCGGGGCAAAGGCCTTTGCGCAACGCGCTAGCGTGATTGGGGCGCCTTATCAGCCATGGTCTGGGGTAGAATGACTCGCCGCAGATAGCCGATGTATGGCGTTTCTGCGCCGGTCGTTATCTTTGGGGGTCGAATGCCTGTTTTACCCCACAGAATCTCAGTCTTCCTAGCGTCTAAGCTTCGGAGTTGGTCAGGAGAGTGTCGCATTTGACAATAGGTACGCATCATCGCGGGGAAGATCGACGGCCGTCTGAAGGGCAAAGACATGGGGCGTCTCGAGAAATCCTGGGGTTGAGCGACCACGAGACCACTAGGTTCCGGGGAGCAAGCTTGTAACAGAAGTAGGCACTTTGAACTGTGAACCGCCAAGTCGTATGTAGCATTGGCTACAGGAAACGGTCGTTGCTCATCCCAATTTTACCTTGAATGTTGCTCCGGCAGACCCGATTGTCAATATGAAAAGTTCAAAAGGGCCGAGTGTGGAAAGAAGACAAATGAAACTGTCCAAAATCGAGAGGAGGAGAGAACGAATGACGAGTCTTCGCTTTATCAGCGGATTTCACCGTGAGCTGATTCCCGGGCTCGTGGATCAATACACCGGTGGGTTGAGATACCACTGCCGTAGAATCGAGATTCTTGTTGCGTAAGACTTTCCAAAGAAAGAACCCAGGCTACGTTTGGGGAGAGACTGGAAAGTCTCCCGCTCTGCCAACGCGGGATGACCGAGTAGTTGCGCAATCCTGTGTCGGGTGGCGCATCCGACATTCCCAAGCCTCCGACAACGCCTGCGGAGTGGAGATCGGATTGGCATCCCGACGCTACTCACACCAATCACGTTGACGATTCTTATCGAAGGCGAGAGTGATTGTTCGCCTGAAGTCACCAACCCCGGAGGTTGGTCTACATTGCTGGGACAGACTTCCGGTACCGTGGTCACGCGCATGTCGGTGTTCGCCACAATTAATCATTATGGCAACTAGAATCAGAATCTCATGGCTCACGAAGACACAGAGGTGGGTAAAAATCGTGACTTGAGTTGATACATTGTCGCCTGCCTCGAGACTGACACGTTCGAGTCTTAGGCCACAAGCAGCGTCTTCCATTCAAAGA